TTTTTTTTTTTTTTCTTCCTTCCTTTTTTCTTTTTCTCTTCTTTTTTTCTTTTTTCTTTCTCCTTCCCTTCTTCCTTCCTTTTTCCTTCTCTCCCTTTCCATGATGTTTTTTTCGAGGAACTTATGAATATCCCACTCCTTTGCAAGTGTAACACTTGTATGTGTATGCGACTATCATCAACTATGTGTTCCATAGGCCTTGTTCTCTTTTCAGACATTGATTCGTTGTAAAATCTGCGCTAGTTCCCGTTTTTTTCGATCCCTGGAAAAGCTTTTTTCGAAACCCTGCAGTGCTTTCGGTTTAGCGTTTCCGCTACAAGAGAGGCTGAGATACGATCACCACCCACCCCCATACTCTCATTCATATTTTTCTAATGGTAATTATCACGGAACCTCCTGCTTCTCGATACATCTGACAGATGTAATCCATATATTTATATATGCCTAGCTTCGGATACGGACAGATATATAAATCTCCCTCCATTCAACTATGATCAACTGCAGGTAAATACACATATCCCTGTTATCATCAATTTTTTCCATCCCTGGCTCTGCACTAGGTACTCGGATCTCGACGGCAACACCAGCAATTCTACGCAAAATATTCAAGAGCAGTATGGCAATACTTTGCGCCGGATCATCACGATATGAAAAATAGGATACTACCTAGGGGAATACGATCTGATCGTAGTTATGACAAACCCCCGTGAGATTGGACTGTTTTATATGGCCGCTTCCTTCGAAGGAAAAGTTTTCCCGTTTTTTTTGTCCTTCCTCCATAGATAAAACTCTTTTCTTGGATTTTGTGGGTTGACCTTCCTGGCACGGAAGTGGCTGATGACGAAAGCTGGCGTATGGCTTCCGTCACCACTCGCTTCCGTCGCCACCCGCCCACGCATGGTATTATGACCTTTACGTCAGAACTATGAGCGGAATCTGTACGAAATAAACTACTCAAGTAGACGTTAAAAAAAACGTTACAGAGGAGGATAGGATTTGATCTCTTTTCTTCAAAACACCCGCAAGTAAGATTGCTGTTTTGCCATTATAGGAATTACTGCATGCTTGCGAGTGTGGTTAGTAATCATTTCTTCAATTTAAAAATAATAATAATAAAAAATCCTTTTAAAATATTTCCAATTTTCCTTTCTTTTTTTTTCAATGATTCTCTCAACTTTTTTCTGACGTAACCACCTGCTTCTCCATACATCTGGCATACATCCAGACTGGCAGTTGTGGTCAGGTATATCCATTCAGATATAATGTACCACGGTTAGCACACTTTGCTTCGCCATGCTCTTCTGCCCATAGCTTTACGCAAGACAGTCCATACACATGATTCTACGCGAAATATTCGGTTCTACAGCAATATTTTGTGCAGGAACTACGTAGGAATGGACCACTCAACTGTCTTTATATAAGAACTACCTACGGGATTGGGATATGATCTCTTTTCTTCGTCAACCTCCCTTGAGTAAAGTTGCTTCTTGGCCGTTGTATGCGCAAAACATGGGGCTAATTACCTCGGGCTATCCTGGAAGGCACTTATGCGGATGTGGGGCATTGTAAAAGTCCTGTGTTTGACAAGAATAACGGGGCTTGTGCCGATGCGTTTATCGGAGTTTGATCATGATATGAGGTCTCGTATCATGTTATCGACATGATCTTTCATGACGTACGCTTACACGCACACACACACACACACACACACACACACACACACACACACACACACACACACACACATGTATGTTTTGTGGGCCGGCGGGGAAGGCTTTCCCAGTTTTTTCGGACCCTTAGCCCGGGGGTTCGGTGCATTCTTGCTGGAGGAGTCTTCTGTCTTAGGTAAGTTGTCTCTTATCTTCTTCCTCCTTTTTGTCAGTGATGCGAGTGTGTAGTTTGAGATGAATGCCGGGAATGCCAATGCTGTTACATTTGTTTATTTTGGTAAATGAGTTTTTTGTTTTGTGGGCCAATGCGGAAGGCTCTCCAAGTTTTTTCGGACCTTTGAGGGGGCCAGGTCGCGGTGCCTTCTTGCTGGAGAAGTATTCTGTCTTAGGTAAGTTGCCTTCTGTGCCCTCCATCCTGGCATCCCCTTATGGTTTGAAACATATATGTATGTATACGTGCAAGTGTGTCGCTTTGGCGGCAGACAGGTGTGTGGGCACTTGGCGCTGAACCACACAAACGTGGCCAACCTTGCATTTTCTCTTACATTGCATATCTATACTTTTTCGTTAAGGATGGCTTGTCATGATTTGTGAAGGGAACGAGAGAGAGAATCTGGGTTCTTTTTAAACAACACACACACACACACACACACACACACACACACACATAACAAAAAAAAGATTTGATCAGCCTTGGATCTGTCCTCGAGATTTTCAGATAATCAAAGTGGTGACCTTACTCGTAATAACCAAAAAAAAAAAAAAAGGGGTTAATGCTCCTACATCCATGGGATGTCTTTGCTACAAGAAAGTCTTTTCAGTTGTTTTACTGCCTTCGTCCACCGAATACAACCTATACTACTGGTCGTATAGTCATTATAGGACACGCGGTTAATGGAAGGCCCAAAATTCGGGGTTTTTCGCCGCATCACTACAAGCAATGTCGTCAAAACTTTTGCAAACAAACTGTGCAGGCTCATAATACAAACATAAAAAAAAAAAAAAACAGGCAAAAAAAACCGAAAAAAAAACATTATAGTTGTATTTAGACTGAAAGATACCCCAAATACAGCTATAATGATCATCCGTTGTATTCGGGAGAAGAAGGTAGCTAGTGTGTGTGGTTCCACTGGTGCAAAGTTACTGCAAACAGTGAGCGCGCAAACACTGCAAAGAGATTTGATCAGTACCAGCCTTAGGTCTGTCCTCAACGCTACAGAGACTAGAACTGGCGATCTTGGCCAATAACAACCATTTCAGCCGGATTTCTTTGCTGCAGCAACCATGCCTGTGCTGCTCAACAGTGAAGCCATATACCATTTGCTGCTGCATGTGCAAGGACTATGAGCGAGAGCGATAGACAGAAATCCAAGATGCAAAGTCACGAAGTAGCTCAGATAGTCATGAACCAAGCAGAGAGTGCAATGCACCGAGATACGGTCCAAAGAAGAGCAATACAATGAACTCGAATGTCAATGTCGCCACTCTCTGGTCCCACCAACACTGTATCGAATGTCGCACTTACAGTCTGGCGCCCAGCGCCCAGCCTATCCTCCTCAGCCTATCTAACCTATCTACGTTCTTGCAACTGGATCACTTTGAAGTCGAAGACCAATGTACGTGACGTCAACACCAATGCCGACCACCAGTATACATCAGGTACGTTCTCTCTCCTTCCCTCATCACCCCTTGATCACCTCCTCATACGCCGCCTACGCGAAGACCACGATCGCCATCACCTGTATTGCGCCCCTTCAGCCCGGCTATGGCTGTTGTGCGCCCGCTGCCTCTCAGCGCCCCTCTCACCTCAGCGCGCGTGCGCGCGCCCAACCCACAGCGCCCATGCAGACACTAGCGCAGCAATGCAGCGGCCTGTCCGCATTGCCTGCCAAGGCCAGGCCCCTCCACCAGGGGCTCCCACTTTCCTTTATGGAAAGTGTGTCGCTGCTGGCTGTCCTGGCCAGGCGTGTGGAGGGGCCCAGTAGCTTCAGTTGGGCCCCAAGTGTCTGCGCCCAGGCCCAGTTTCCGAAACTGGACTGGGCCTCATGCAGTTAGGCACGTCCAGGCAGACACCCAGCCTCTAAGTGTTTGCAGCATTCTCATTGGCTCGCAGCACATGTGTGACGACAATGCTGCTTGCTCATCGGCCTCACACAACGTGTGCCCAGGGCGCAACCGCCTGAGCCCTGGGCTCAACTGTACAGTGCAGCCCTTTGCTTCTGGAAAGAGCCTGGAGGCTCACGTTGCTCTGTAACCAACTCTTGTGCTGCAACTGTCTGAGTACCCACATATGGAAAAATTGTCGAGAACAGGCCTGCCTCACGTGGATATTCAGGCCCGCCTTCACTTAGGGCGGGAACGAGGCTTGCTGGGGGCCACAGCCCAGAACACTTGTATGTCTAATAAGAGCTCCGTGAGGCTCATTCCTCGCAGATGGCTGGATTGCTCGTTCAGTCAATCTCATAAATCGGATGAGAGCACTTGACAGCCTCGTCCGGGTAGCACGCACACAATACGCACATTTTTCCCTTGCCACATGACCCTCCTGTAGACGAAGCCACTGCGTCCAAGCTCAATCTTCATCTTCGGTGTGCTACTGAACCTTGTAAACCATTATTTAATGTAGAAAAACAAGCCCATGGCCAGGCATGGGTCTCTCTCTCTCTCTCTCTCTCTCTCTCTCTCTCTCTCTCTCTCTCTCTCTCTCTCTCTCTCTCT